ACTTTTCCCTTTAAAAAAAAAAAAAAAAAAAAGAGAAATACGGAGGATTAGACACATCCGTGACTTAATTTAACCAGTCATAAAATGTTTGAATTGGAGGTGAATCAAATAAAAAATAAAACTTTTACTATACTAAAAATTACAGTAAGTAAAATATCATCCTGGGTACTTTAACAATTTGCCTCCAACACGTTAAAGATCATGTTGTCAGAAGTTCTAACAGTCTACACTGTGGAGGAAAGGCAGCATGCAGAAAACAGCAGCCTACCTTGTCTTTTTTCTAATGAAGACGAGCATGGTTCAAATAAAAAAAGGAACAACAAAAAAGACAGAATAGAAGGTCAGACAAAAGATAGTAGCATTTTATAGCACTTCAAAGCCTGCTACTGTATTTTGTGCTTGCGTCAATTAAGAGGGAGACAAGCAGATGCAGGATATAAAAGTTTGGAAAGCAGAATTAAAAACAAAAACACTAAACTCCTCCATTTTCAAAATCTCTCTTTATAATTATGACTAGGCATGGGCCGGTATGAGATTTTGATGGTATGATAACCAAAAACAATAAGCAAAAATATCACGGTTTCACGGTATTGTCGTTACAGCTCTAAAATGTGTTATTTTTAAATGACTGGGTAAAAAAAACACAATATATTTTGTTTTTGAGCAACATACAGAATATTAGGAACAGTATAATTTGTTTATTTTTTCTTTGATTTGTTTCCTAAAAAGAAGAAAAATAAAGACTGACATCTTTATTTAACCTCAATCTGTAATTAGTTATTTAATTTTAGTTAATTACTAAATTTAGTTTATATAATTCATATACATATCATTTATATCATTTCATATCATTTAGTTATATAATTTCATATACATAATTTGATTTAATAATAACCCAATTTGAAGCAAAAACAGAATGTTCTGACTAGCTTTGTGAAATTATACTACATGCCTGAACGAAGCAAACAGCAGATGCTCTGAATGAGATGCAGATTCACTCTCTGACAGCAGGAGGCGCTTCTGGAACACCCATACAGCATTTCCTTGGTTACCGCTGTAAACAAAGCAGCACTGCACTGAAGCACTGCTTTAATATGAACTATACAGAGACGAGATGAAAAGAAAAAAACCACAAACTTTTCTGAAGACAGTCAGTTCCCCTCAGAAACCCCCAATAATTCATATAAACCCCCAAATCAATATTGAGGATTTTCTTCCAATAGTTCGTGCATCATGAACAGAGAGAAAAATACTGTAGCAGGCAGATCACTCCGTGCGTCCGACTTCAGCATCTCTGGCCTGTGTTAACGGGCATTTACAGACTTCATATTTTCACATAAATGACATTTTGGAAAACGATTGCATTGCAACGCAGTTTGTGCAAGTCCAGAACAGAGACGAGTTGCTTGCAATAAGACAAAAAACGGCTGGTTGCCGATAGCGTAAGTTCCAGGGGAAGCTCCTTAGTTTGGCCATCCTACACACACGTGACTGACCACGCTCGCACCAACAGGAGGAGGAGGGTCATGAAAAACAGCACATACTACAATTGGAAACGGAAAATATTAGCGGTTTTGAAACCGTGAAATTTTCAAATCGCGGTATACCTTGAAACCGGTAATCGGCCCATGCCTAATTATGACTGATGGTGCTACACCAAATTTCCACAGATGTGTACTTCAAGGACTCTTAAGAAGAAATACATTAAAATCAACTGCATATACACTACCTTTCAAAAGTTTGGGGTCATTACGATTTTCTTTATTCAGCAAAGACACTAATTTAATCAAATGACAGTAAAAACAAGTTACAAAATATTTATATTTAAAATAAATTCTGTTCTATTGAGCTTTCACAATATTACAGTTTTACTGCGTTTTGGATCAAATAAATGCAGCCTTGGTGAGCATATACTTTTCAAAACCACCTTGCCAACTCCAAACATTTGAACAGTAGTGTAGATTCAGGAAGTCAAGATTTAGTCTACCTTCTCTTTGCCCTTGCTGGGACTGGAGTTCTTGGTGGTGGTAGCAGACATAGCTTCTTTCTCTACCACCCCCACAAAACGCAGCTCAGATTGCGTGTGGAACGACACCGTGCCCTTGGGCAGCTTTTTGATCCGTACGGCATGGTTCCTTTGGGCTGACAGCATGTCCTGAGAGAGGAAAGAGGGGATGTTTTAAAGCTGGTCAATGTAAGACCACAATTACAATTTACATTGGCTTCTGCTTTGTGTACAGTTTAAGCAGTGGACCAATCTGGGTTTTTCAACAGCTGATTCTTATATCCAGTGAACCGGATGACCAACTGATGATGAACGGTCTAATACAGTCCATCACAAAAAAAAAAAAAGAAAGCATTTACATAAACTGAGACAAAAACAGGAACACAGAAGTGGTTCAGGTCTGGTGATATCTGGGAACTCACAGGGACAACAGTGAATTCCACTTCATCAGAAATGTGCAGTTGACTCTCTTCCAGAACCTCGCTGAAATGGAAGAACATTCGGGCATCACGGTCCACACACTTGATGAATCCAAAACCATCACGCATGGCAGCTATCACACCCTGCACATGAAGACAAGGAGAGAGACAAAGCCAACATTAGCAAAAAGTAAAACAGCCTTGCAAGTAACCACAAGGACAAAGCTCTACAGTCGCACCATTTCACGAGTCTCCTTTGTGAAATGGAAGGTGTCAGGGAGGATGTCGATATTTGTCGCTCTCTCCAGTTTGTCTCGACGGTCAGTGGATATATTGAAATGGACATGGTCGCCCTCCAGCAGCGTCACTTTGGCCTTGGTGTCCTTCTCGCCGAACAGCAGCTCTTTGTCAGTGAAATTAATTCTGGCACTGATTCGCCCAGGCAGCGGGTCGTTCTGAGAGAGAGACAGATGGAGTCTTATTCGATTTAACATGCAAGCAGAATCTATATGGTAATGTTATTGAGACAGTCTGGGAAGATTAATGGCAAGAGCTGATTCACAAACCTGATTCTTGGTGGGGACCTTGGGAATAACCTTGGTGACAGTGCCCTCGAAAGTCTCAATACTGATGTCCTCAAATATAACAGTGCCCTGAGGCAACAGTTTCACATCTGTGGCCACTTCCTTGCCCTATGAAACACACACAGAAACAACCTCAATACAGCTGTTTGAAACAGCAATGCATCTCATGAATAGTAATTTCACTGTTTGATAGTAAAATCTTTCGTATCCTATCAGTGAGTATTAGTTACTAACCAAAGACCAATAGAACATCAATACAAATATTTTGCTTTTTAAAAGACATTTCATCAATTGCTCACGTTTCTTTCTTTAATGGTGAATTCCACATCATCTCCAGCTTGTAGAGCCTCCAGATCTCCTTTAAACTCACTGTAGTGGAAGAAGATCTCCTTCACAACATCCCCTCGTTCAATGAATCCAAAGGCCTCCTGCAAGACAATTATAGATTTGAAAAAAGCAAAAATAAATTATATATTTGAAAATATATTTGGGAAAAAAAATTGGCACTCGACTTAAATTCAATATGTAACTTTGAATTTTACAATCAAAATTTGCAGATAAGTTCCGAATTACAAGTTATTGCAATGTTCAAATGCAAAAATTTGAAAAACTGTTTAACATTATGAATATATGTCGCTAAACACACAACTTCCTTTATTGACTATTCTAGCAGAATGTTGAGATAAGAGAAGTCTTTTGCTATTCTCCTTCCCACCAGAGGGCAGGAGATCACTATTCCTTAGTATAGTGTCTACATAAAAACAAAACAAAAAAAACAGCTACTACAAACTCATCTTTGAATAAGATCCTTACCTTGGTAGCACAAACAACTCCCTGACATCTTGACTGTTTCTTCTTTACCAATACAATGTTGTGAGCACTAACAGCACCAGTACTGAAACAAAGATAAACCATTTCAACATCCAAAAAAAAGTTCCTCTTTTGATATTATACCCATTTCAATCAGACATTAAATCCACTTACTGCTTGTTGGTCTCCATGTAAAAACTGACTTTATCTCCAGTATCTAAAGTGACGTTGCCTTCAACATCGTCAGGGATGTAGGTCAAATAAAACACTTCCTGAGAAGATTCAAACCACAAACACATTCAGAAACAGCAACTGGCACAATCAGTGCCATATAATGACAAGTTTATGAACCACAGAACTGTTATTCACTCAGCTTTTCTATTAGTTTGCTAAGTTGTATCTGTCCCAAAATGGTCTCAAAAGGGTGAAACAAGACAAGCAAATGTCTAAAATGTAGAGCTGGGCGATATGGCCAAAAAATTATCTATATATTTTTTTCATATCAGTCGATATCTATAATTATCATGATAAATGTAAACTTTTTATTTTTTTCAAGTTTAAAGGCAGATTTTTGCTCCAATGTGAAAGTTGTAAAAACCAGATGGTTAATTGTGGTTTTCAACTATTCTTTATGGTCAGAACATGACAAACACTTCGTTTTTGAATTCTTTACACTTCTCCAGTCATTTTTCCTTAACAAAATATATATCTTAATAGAAAAAAATAATTTCTTAGCTCTGCATGTTCTAGTAATGAGTGATATTGTTTCAAATCAAGAAACAAGTTTGTGTTGCCTGATAATATTAATTACATTTTAATTAACATTTTATTGTCTCTTAGAAATACACATTTGATAGTAGCTTGAGTTAGGATGCAAATGTAGATTTAGGTTCATTATCAAAATCAGTAATATCTGTAAAAGTGGTAGCAATCTCATTTTAATATGGTGAAACTGAATTATTCTGACCGTTTAAGGTGTTTTTTTTAACCATTGGTCTTCCATAACTGACATTTAGATCATGATAATCACAGTTAAAACCACAAATATAGCACCTCAATACCATGGTAAAAATGTAATATGGCTTGTAGGTATTTATGAGAAACAGTAGTCTAAATACATTTATAAATGCATAAATGCTATAGCTTAATCACAAAAAAATACTGTAATTATATTCCATTACTCCTCCTTCAATATATTTAACACATGTCTACGTTAATAATATAATAAAATTCAACATGAATACCCACATTTCTGACACAATACCATGGTACAGTTTGTGCTACTACAGTAAATCCATGGCAAATGATGGCGATTTGTAGATTAAAAAGTCTTCTGACTGTATCGTTGCGCACAGTGTTTCTGCTTTTTGTCAGCGCTGTTTCATCTGCGTGTAAACAGTCATTTGTGTTCCTCGTTGAATTCAAGCGCTTTACACTGGATCTCACAGCGCTGTTCAGTGTCGCGTCAGCGAATGAACACATCTGCTCTAGTGAAGCTCGCACCGCTGTTTGAACTTTGATCCGAGTGGATAAACGCTCCGAGTGGCGCACTTCAAATGACTAGCGCCCTTTCGTTCAGCCTTTGCCGCATTATAATCAAACATTTATCAAACTCTTGTTATCGTTTATCGAGAAAATCTATATTGTGCGATAAATATCGTTATCGATTTATCGCCCAGCCCTACTAAAATGTATAGGAAACTCTGCAAATGAGAATAAATGACACTCACTCCATTCCTCTCATAACACACACTGCCAGTGGGCACTTGTCCAGGTGCGGACTTCCCGTCCAAGTGAGAAGGGATAGCTGACACTACCTGAAAAAAGGGGACATGCAAATAGACAAGACGGGGTTAGAGGCTGCATTGGTGAGAGACAGGATCAACTAACCATGTTTAAATGCTAAAGAGAAAGTCCCTGAACACAGATGCGCAACATGTTCTGAACTAAAGACAGATTTAAAAAAATCATTAAAAGAAACATTCATATTTGACTTGTACATCTGAGTTCAAGGAACCAGTCAAAAAATTATTAAGTACATGAATGATAGACTTCATATTGAGAACAAATCAAGATTTGTTTCTCTCATAACTGTATATTAAATGAAGATGAAAAGTTCTCCCAACAAGACCACAAAACACAAAGACAATCAAGCTCATTGTGAACCCACATAAAAGCAAAGCATTAGCATCAGGTCGGTCAATAGGATTTCTACGTAACTCTTAATAATAGAAACTAGTGATTTATGCATTTTCCAAGTCAATATGGATTAAAAATGAGCTCGAAAACTCCAACAATGATGGACATTAATGGGACAAGGACAATAAAACACGAAAGTAAAATGTGTTCCTTAACTGGATGAATAAAACCATGCAGCACAGTTAAAGGAGAGGCGTGCAAGTCAGGCCCCACCTGCCCAGAAATTCGCTCTTCTGGCAACATTTCTGCCTTGATTTTTACCAGCTTCACCGCAACTGGTTTGCCAGTGCGTCTATCAGACGACACCTCAAACTCCACATCGTCTGAAAAATGGCAGAACAGACAAAACATGGAAGTCAGTTCCCGCATTAAGATACATGCTAAAAGCAATAAACTAAATATTTACTGCATGTATTTTTTTTACATCAAGGTTCCTATTAGGTCTTGTCATTATTGTGATGTTTTTACTGGTGACTTGTATACTGCAATTAATTTTAATAATTGTTGTATTTCGGCCATAAGCTTCCCTAAAGAAGCACCAACTCTCAAGTATGAGATGGTTAAAGTGGAAATAAGAGTCTCAGCTTTCAGTAGCAAAAAAAGGCATTAGATTGGGTAGGTTTAATTAATTTCCTTGAAACAATTAAAGCAGTGTTTTAGCTATTTGAAATGGCACAATTCAAAATGCTGGTTCAATGACTTGTCTGGATCAGAAACATTCAATTTGTTCCTGCTATTTCCCCCACCTCATTTGGCTCATACCTCCGATCTTTAGCTCTTGCAGGTTGCCGTTGTACTGAGAGCAGTGAAAGAAGAGGCGGGCCTGTCTCTCAGAGCACTGAATGAAGCCATATGATGCTAGCAGCTTTTCAACCACTCCCGTCTCACGAATTCCCATGCCCGTTCCATTGGCAAAGCCACCATGACCATTATTATGCAGCAGACTGGGGTCAAAACTCATCTATGGGAAAATAAGACATAGGATTAAAAGTTAAAAATACACTTGCTCAGTTTTCGACCTTTAGCATTCTCCACACATCCGACTGCTTCACAACAGATCAGAACACAAGTGTGGGAAATGGTAAAATGGGATGAAATAGGATTTTAAATGTTGCAAGTATCTGCAACTACGAAAAAGAACAATTTAAAGAGGGGAACACTGTCCCAGTAATTTGTTGTGGCATGTATGTTTAAGTTTCTCTTCTCCCTTTGGTCAGCTTAAACTAGTTGCCTGATCAAGTAGATCCAAATGACCAGGATAAATCTGCTGTATCTGCACAATACCCAAGAACACAAATGCAAGTATTATCGGTTTCATATTAAACCTAGAAAGTAAAATTAAAATTCATGCTTTTAATCCACTTCACACTGACTTAGTTATATATTAGAGTATACACGCAAACAAAATCGTCAACACATTCAAAGTTAAAACTTGGTCTTTGTGTAGAACTTCACCCATAAATTAAGTGAACTGTACGTGAACGGTTGGGCAAGCATGTGGTGAAAAGTTAGACAATCGAAAACAGATTTTATTGACCCAAAAAACCCTGTATAGCCAAAAGCTTTACAACTCCTAACTTAAAAGCATGCGGTTACAGTGTCAGGTATTATTTGCCAGTGAGGACATCAAGCCGGCACAGACTGTCCCATCATGCCCACTTACGGATCGCTGATATAAGGGGGTCCGCTTTTGCTTTTTGCCCCCTGATGCACGAGAGACATGGCATGAGACTGAAGCGGATCGGGGGATTGGCTGGCTTGAGGTGGAAGGGGTGGGGGCAGCAACAGGGGTATCAGAGGCCTCCATCTTCAGGTGAAGGTAAGGGGTGGTAGGACACTGAAGGCAATAAGGGGAGGAGTGGATATTTAAAAAAAAATAAAAACACTACCTAAATGAAGGATCACCAAACAGGAAGAACCAAGAGATGGCATCAAAAACAACCCTTCTGAGAAGTTCAATTCTGTTAAAAAAAAAACCTCACTGCAAGAAATGAAACATGTCAAAGAGGCCATCACACCACTATAATGATCTACATAGGGTAAAAAAAAAAAGCAGACTGACCAAAACACACTCATGCCTTTCGTTAAGGTTCTAGTAATTACTAGCAGGTAGCTGGGAATATGTAATTTGAAATGCGAAAGAAGAGCTTCCAGGAAGAAATCTAAACAATTGAAAGTATGAAAACCCTAAACCAATCAGATATGTGCCTTTGGGTCAAATGTCCAGAACTGACATTAAAAAAGTTAAAACGGCTGGCAGCTAATTTACAAGAACATTAAAAGCCATAAAAGCAACAAACAATTCTGGCTAAGTAAGTCTAAAAGTAGTGATATGGCAAGTATGCTTGCATTTTCTTTGAATAAAAGCATCCATAGAACGATTAAAGTAACTGACACATGGGAAAGTCAATATACTCAACCAACAAATGACCATATCCATTACAACAGCTGTACTATTTCTACAGTTCACCAATATTATCTTTACACTGTGGTACATTCCAATGTCAGTGCATCACATCATTTAACTTTTACTGCTCTATTCAAGTTGAATCTTACATTTAAGTGATGGGTTGGAATAATTGTGAAATGTTTTGCATTTTGAATTAAAGCATGTGAATGACTGGAATACTTCATTTGCAAACAACCATCTGTGAATCAAATCATTTTATCACAACACACTTAGTGTGAACAGACCTTAAAGCATAGTTCACTAAAAAATGAAAGTTCTGTCTTTGTTTACTCATCCTAATTGTCATTCCAAACCATAAAACTGACTTTCTTTTGAGGAACACACAAGACGACAATGTATGGACAAAAAAAACCCCTTCAAATTATCTTTGTTCCACATAAGGTTTTTTTTGGGTGAACTATTCCCTTTACTCGAATGGCGCTTTTCCACTGCGTGGTACGGCTTGGTTTGCGTTTCCACTGCAGTTTAGTATCGCTTTAGAGTGGGCGGGATTATTCACATGTCGTTATAGTGGCTACTGCCACGACTCCTGAAAAACTTTTTCATTCCGCGTCGCCCCATCAAGCTCTCGCTGGATCCGCTCATCTGCTATCAACGAGAGGAACGTCTGTACTTCCTCAACAGATCAAAGAGAGGAACGTCTGTATTTCCTCAACAGACAGCGAAACAGACACTTTTTGGTTGTTAAAAAAGGTGTGCTCATTCAAAACAGTTGCGCTCGATCCTTCGCTGGCTGTGCTGATTTAAATCTAGCGGTTCTGTTGTGTTTGTGGTGCAAGTTCAGTGACGCAGGTAGTGACGATTCTCTCCGGCCAATCCGTGATAAGCAGAGTTTACACATCACATTTTGGTAACGGTACGGTTCACTTGGAACCTCAACCGAGGTGCTACTAAAAAAAAAGTACCAGGTACCAGTACTGTACCCAGTGGAAAACCCCCCAAAAGTGAACTGTACCGAGCCATACCGTGCCGTACCATGCAGTGGAAAAGCGCCACTATTTCCCACCCTTGCTAGGAGACATGCTCAAGGAAAATCAGAATGTGTTAGTTTGATGAAGCGACTGGGAATGGCACTACTAAACTATGCGATAACAACAAATGGTTAGATGACACAGACTCTGACCAGCCTCGACCACTAGGCCATTACATCGAAACACATACAGGCCTTTACACACCCATAAATGCTTTGATTCACTCAGCGCCAGACAACAAAGCCTAATATCCATTTACTGCCAATCACACATGGTTCAACAGCAGCTGACGGAATAAACAAATCTACGCTCAGCTACTATAGAGGAAATATCATTACTTTGCCTCTCCACCTCTCGTTGCTGCTCGTCCCTATGGCAAGTGATCGAGGCCAGCCTCTAAGCCTGGTGATCAGGATGATGGAGTAAAGGAACAGCTCAGAGAGGGGCGACAGTGGGTGTTTAATGAACGAGTCGAGTTCGGAAGAGTGGGGGACAGTGGGGTGGAAAGCGGATGGCAGGGCACTTACAGATCGGCCGTAGGGTGACAGGCTGAGCCCGACGGGTGAGGTGCTGTTCAGGTCAGCGCTAACGAACGCTGCAGGTGGCGACGCCGGCAAGGTAAACTCGACAAAACCTTTCCAGGGACTACCCATAATTCTCCCATACACAGTGGCCAAATCTACTACACCTGGGATTGATCGGATTAAGCAGTGTTCCGAGTAAAGATTTTATTTTTAAGTCAGCCGTTGTGTTGCAGTTCCTCCCTTCCCTCTCCCCTCTCCTTTTGGTTACACACCCAACAAAACACCTCAGGATTTCTGCAAAGGTGAAGAAAGGAGGGAAGGGGTGGTGAAAAACTGAGGGAGAGGCAACAAGAACAACCAGTGAACAAAGCAGCACAGTAAGGTCAGTCGAGGGCTGTGGGTGTGTTGGGGTGAGGACCCTACAGACAACATGCAAGTGTGCCTCATCTGCACACAAAGTTGGGTCAAGGACTACTAAATTCTTCTCAGCAGGCTTAAGTAATTATGACCCCTTTCTCTCAGGAAAACACATCTGGACTAGTGCAAAGCGTGCTAAAGAGCAACTACAATTCCGTCATGAGGTCACAAACTTGATCAAGTTAAATTTTCCTTCTGCTACATCAAATTAAAGTTCTGTACTTGAGTAAACAATGAGTGAATTAAAGTGGTGCTAGATATCAATATTCACATTTTGAAAACAACAAACAAGAAAATATAAGGGGGAAAAAACTACAGAACATTCATCAAAATTTAAAAATTGAAAGGGATAGTTCACACCAAATTGTCATTTACTCACTCGTCATTCCAAATCCACAAGACTTTTAATCATTTTAGGAAAACAAATCATAGATATTTATTCTCACATCCTTTTTGTCCATCCACTGATAAAAAAAAAAAGGATTTCTCTGGTTTATTGTATCTTCAGTGTTTTAAAGATGAAAAAAGTCTTATCGGTTTGGAACGACATGAGGGCGAAAAATTAATTCTCATTTTTGGGTGAACATCCCTTTCGTTCTCAATTGTTCTTAACTTAGTTCAATATATAGTAACAATATAACTCAGTTATATTGAGCATGATAATATGAATGATCTTTGTTCCAAAACCTACTGAGCTGACTACAAATGCAGCATTCTAATGAATCACGTCAAGGAGAGGAGAAAAAAAAATCCATCCAAGAAAGAGGAATGTCAATTACAATACATACTTTAACTTTTTCAGTTACATATTTATAATGTTACAAAAGATTTCTATTTCAGATAAATAGTGTTCATATCGATATCGGAATTATATCGTATCGACCGAAATTAAGAAATATATCGTGATATCAATTTTGGCCATATCGTCCAGCCACTACATTTTATCTAATATTTCTGTTTAATATAGCTTACATATTAGCACTGCTAGCTAACTTCACAAGATGCTAATGCTAAACTCATTCCATTTCAGTTAGGATGCTATTTTAGAAGGTGGCTCACTAGTTTTTGGAACAGAGCAACACGATTTCAGCCTTTTTAGATTTAAATGAAGAAACTGCGCAATAAACAGCATGGACAACTGGCCTGTTTTGGCACACTGCATATTATAAATGAATAACAAGCCAGACAAATCAGGATTATTTATTAAATTAAGGGGGAAAAAATGGGGACAGTGTCTGGCATGGCTTACCTTGTTCTGTTGTCTTGGAAGGCTGTAATGATTTGGACCAATCAATCACTTAATCGATGCTTCAGACTTGGCTCACACAAGCGCACACGCACACACACTTGTAAGGTTTGCCTCTCTGGCACACGTTCTAATTACAAAAAGTTGCAAAAATAAAGGACAAAAAGCAAAACAAAAAATAAAAAAATTTCAAACAAAAAGGCGTACAAACACTGCTTTTGAAAAATAGTGAACAGAAATACAAGAGAAAGACTGGGGGAACGGAGGGGGAAAAAGATCAGGGAGGGATTCGGTCTGCAATTGACAGAAAGAAAAAGGTAAAAACTGAAAAGACTAGCAGACAGCAGCCCTCTCCGCACCCCAGAGGAGGACGAGGTGCGGGGAGGATGAGGAGGGCTTGGTGCAGCGTTGGGACGTGTGCTTTTTCAAAGCTGTTGAGTAGGCACAAACTTCTTGTCTCAGATCAGGTCTCGCCTTCGCTGTTAACGTTGATGGTTGGTTGCTACGCTCGTTGCGGCCTGGTTCTGTTTCTTAAATCTTTGGTTTGCTCATTTGGTTGTGTCGTTTTGCTTTAGTTTTTCTCGTTTGTAGCAGTGCAGTTCTTCGTCTTGGTCTTTGTCTTCAGAGTTGTTGTACCACTGGGTCGTTTTGGGGATGTTCGTTATGTTTTCGTTTTCCTTGGCGTTTCTTCTGACTGAACGATGATCTGAACTTGAAGTAGGTTTCAGATGGTACAAAAATCAATTCGGTTTCACTTCATACTGTTTGGGAGAAGGAAAAAACAAAAAGGATATTAGATCACACAGATAAGTTACACATTAAATGCATTTACTTCAACAAAAAAGTATATTAATCTATTTCAAGTCCAGTTTATTAAACTAACCCCCCCCCCACACACACACACACACCAATATAAGAGTTAACAATTAATCCCATTAGCCACATTCATTTATTGTGGGTTAAAACACCATGTTACTCTCCTGTTGATACACAGGCCTAAAAATAAAGTTTCCTTAGCAGCCTCGCGTACAGAAGAGCAGCTGACTGAACACAAACATCAACAAGTCTCAGCGTGAACCAGCAGTTGGCTAAGTATTTATGGAATATTCAATTCAAGCGGTCAACAACTGCAGATATCCAGCATGCCAATCATTCAGTTCCCTCCAGTCTATTACACATGAGATGGGAGGATCAAAAAGCTTGATATATAGGCCAGTTCGTTACTTGCTCTGATGGACCAAGCACAGACTTAAAATGGATGGAGACAATCTCTTACTAACCAGCCAATTTCATTTCACAAGTCGCAAGATTTTAGTCGCCCAGAGTAAGATTTAGTCGCATATGCGAGTGATTTACTCGCAATGTAGAGGGTTGGATGGGGACTTGGTTGTTAACTGGATTGTTAACTGGATTTGGAGATGTGCGTTGCATCCAGAAGTGGTGCAAAAAACAGACAGGGTGAATTTTCAGTTCATGTTGACTTAAAAAAAAATTTAAAAAAAAGTGTGGAGAACAGGACAACTTCTGTCTATGACCTCTAAGTCAGAAAACAAACAGTACCAGATAAACCTTGAGAGCACATTGTGTGCCTTGCTTATTTACAACCTCATGGTTTCAGTGAGAATTAAAGGGATAATTCAACCAAAAAATGTGTTACATTTATGACAATAGTATGTTTTATGGAAGTAATACCAAACAGATTTTTTTAACAGAATGAAGGTCTTAATCCTAACCGTCAATGAGATAGTATGAATTAATTCGCAAAAATGAAAAAATTTACACCTATCGCCATTTCTAGCCACTGGGGGACCATAGGCAGGCTAGGGGAACTCATATTAATGTTAAAAAACCTCATAAAGTGACATTTTCATGCCATGGGACCTTTAATACAAACTGCCATGAAGGTGTAATGGAATTTTCATCTTTGGCTAAACTAACCGATTGAAAATGGGATAAAACTGGATAAAAACATTTCTTATTGTAAATATATAACATGAACGGAAGAGCTGTGGAAAAACAAGTGATCTGATCCCGCCTACAGCGCACAAGTTTGTAGACCTAAGCGCTTGACGTCGACACCCCCGAGCGCATGCTGCTCAGCTGCGCTTGACAGCGGCTCAAATATACAAATCACAAACCGCAAAGTATATTAAGACCACTGTTCTTCGTTCACTAGTTACGTTTTGTTAAAAAGCGAAACTGTAGATTTCTACAGCATACATAAATGACAAAATGGGGACATGAAACTAAGTGACGCAAGCAGCGCTTGAGCAACAGCTGGAGCTCATCCAGAGACAAAATCACTAGCAATGCCTTTTCAGACAAGACAACTCCGACACATGCTACTCCTGAGCATATTAGAAAACGTACTGGAAGGAAGAATCCCAACAAATGGTTAAAAGTAGAATCTAGGGCGTTTCAAATCCAAATGAGAGAAAACGACCGTTTTGACCAAAGTATTTTCATCAGTTGTTTAATCTCAACTGGAAAATCGTGGAAATGGCTTTCGTAGGAAATATATATATATATATATATATATTTTTTTTTTTTACCAAAATTGCTCTTACAAAAAACAATGTATTTTGTGAGAGAAAATTCTGTAGCAGTGTTTAAGCTGAAACATTTGTATTCACTACAAAATTACTTTTTTTATTGATTTTAAATAACGTACTTTCGCAGGCGTGCAAAATTAACGTTACCATAATTTCCAAATTCCATTATATTTCCAGGTTATTATGACCATGGGAAAACCGGTTTTAGTAAGAACTCGTTTGGAAAACAAGTAAACTATTTTCCTGTCCTGAGAAAACAGGGTTTAGTTGTTTAACTCAATTTACTATGCGTCGATAAAACGGGATAGACAGTGATCCAGCCGGGCTTAAAATAAATCACTCAGCCCGACAACAAAGGCACACGGCGGCGGCTGTCGGGTCACGTTGGGCCGCCGCTGCCGCGCTGGAGCCTCGACTGGGCGCTTCATTTCTTGTTAAGTGACCTTTACAAAATATCTCCCATGACGGATGTGTCAGATTAATAAGTTAGTTTATTATTGTTTAAAACGACTCTTCGCTAGTAACAGTGCTTTAAGCGCTGGCTAACATGCTAAACCGCTAGAGCACACGCAGAGGAAACACTGCCCCCACCCTAAACCGTTTAACTGTTCAAAAACAAGCAGGAATACTCAGAGAGTGGTATAAACGCAAACGTCGGAGGCTTAAACGTTCATATAGCCGTGTAAGAGTTATGTGGCATCACAAAATTGAATAAATATAAAAGAAAAACTCACCCCAACAGCTTTCAGCACTGTCACCAGCGCCGCCATAAGCAGCACGGCACATTACGTAGTGAGGAGCGGTGCGAACTCTCGCGATATTATAACAGTACCATGTTAACTGTGGGGCGACACGCCACTGAGTCAGAGGTCACAATTAAGTAACTAATTTACGTTACTCTGTAAAGTACAGCTAACTTTCCTCTATATTTCCACGGTGTTAAATGTTATTTTAGATACTGTCATGAGTCATGACACTATGCTTGTACTATTTTTCTTACATGTACCTTGTTAGTACATGGTAGTTTTAAACTTATGAGACCCATAAAACCATGGGTTTCCACAATACCTGTACATTTATCAAAATATGGTATTACCACATGGCTGATCACCGTAAGTAATAAGTGTCTTTCGATAAAAGTGACCATCTAATATCAGAGAACAAAGTTACAAAGTATGATCTGTGCTCTTGAGTAATGCACTTACCTATAATTCGAGAAAAATAGTCTTGGTGGCAAATTTTATTAGAAAATAATAAATATTATTGTCAGACTTAATCAATAGCTTTTGATAAAAATATGAAACATGTTTACAGTTTCAAGCAGGTCTTAAAAAGGTGACAATAACATGGTCACAATGAAAGAGACCATGCTTTCTACTGTATATCAAGCTGTACAGAGAGAACAAAAAAGAGAGATGCAAATAACACAATGTACTCTGCACACTGATATTTTTTCTTTTGTTTAATCCAAAATTGTACCTAATCTAAATCAAAATAAAAAGAACAAGTATGATCACATTATGAGAATATGATTCTTGTAACAACAAGAATCAAAAGGCACTTTCCATGGCAGTCTTTTCCAGCTGAGGGACAGAAGTGTGGATGTAACACTGACTGTGAAAAATGCAGTCTATGGTAAGAATCCACCATCTTTCATGTTCAGGTTCAGTGAATGGTCCTTTGATTGCTCAATACTATTCTCCTTAAATGAGCCAATAAAACACGAAACAGCCAAACATCACCCAATGGCTCGCCCAGTTTAGCTCTGACCACTTTTGAATGGTGTGACTGGCCATGTAACCCTGTGTGGAAACAAAATACTGTGTGATAAAAGCAATTCTAACTAATTGAATTGAATATTTTTTTAGAAGTAGCTGACTATTTATATTACAATAAAACTGTATATATGTTTAAATTGCATGTGCATATGAAAACGCTCACTTCCTCAGCATGCATGTTGTCCATTTCAGAGTCAAACAATGATCCCAGATATGTCAGATGGAATATTGACAATGCACTGAAGAACAGGTTAACACCATACACCCACAGCATCTACAACAGGGGAAAAAAGACATCTCAATATAAAAATATAACTAAGAAATTTCAGTGAAAATCTGTGAACTACAGATCTCATACTGCACAAACCAAAAATGTTTTATTATATAAGTATAGCTGATTCTGCAGTGCTACAGATCACCTTCTTATTTTGGTGATGGCAGTCATTTGGGCAGCGCTTTGACAGTATACAAGCACTGAAAATAGCTGCCAACCGCTTTCTCAGAACTGCAAGAGGAAGCAAAGACAGTATTTTGAGTCCTGTTGGCTAGGCCAGTGATGTGACATCTATTATAGATGTTAGAATTTACTACCTATTGAAATGTGTGCCATGATGACTGTATGCATTAGTATTAATATATTTTCAGTTTTTTTTTTTTAATCCAATGAATTAACTGATACTATCAAAGCGGTTTTATTTTTATTGATGGCAAGCATGCATGTATAAACTAAAATTACTGTTTACCATGTTCAACATAAGTGATGAGTCCCAAAGACAACAGCACAGCCCCCAGATGAAAGCTGAGACCCTGCCAAACAATGCATGATTAATTCATAAAAGAAAATATACTACCATTCTATGGTTTAAGGTCAGTAAGAATTTTTTAAAGAAATCAAAACTTTTATTCAGCAAGGATACATTAAATCGATGAAAAGTGACTGTAAACACATTTATAATGTTACAAAAGATTTCCATTTCAAATAAATGCTGTTCTTTTGAACATTCTATTCATCAAAGACTCCTGAAGACAAAAACATATCATGGTTTCTACAAAAATATTAAGCAGTTGTTTTCAACACTGATAATAAAAAGAAATGTTTCTTGAGCACCAAATTAGCATATTAGAATAATAATGTGACACTAAAACTTTGCCATCACAAGAATGAATTACATTTTCAACATATATATTAAAATTTTAATACATTAATTTTTTAATTGTAAATTGTAATATTTCACAATATTAACTTTACTGTATTTTTGATCAAATAAATGCAGCCTTGGTGTACATAAGATCTCTTTAAAAAAAACACAAATCTTTTATTTAAAAACTAAATTTTCAGTACTTAGTGTAAATGAATTTAGACTCAATATCCTACATTAACCACCAGAGGTCTCCACTCAACTACAATACCTTGAATTAGGCATCGGTCACTGATATTTGTCTTAGATCAGTGGTAGATTATCGTTCTGTAATGTACTATATATTTACGCACTAACTGAAAAAAAAAAAAATCACAAAATATTAAAGGTGTTTGATTTCAGACTTTTTGCTAATTTCTGCCAGAATTAGCCACACAATTGCACCCATCCCTACAACCACACGTCCTTTCTCCTAAACCCACCCTCCTCAGACATGTCAGTGAACCCAAACAGATTCACATTCACAGTATGTTTTTGACTGGCTAAACAACCACAGGTCACCCTAACACGGACATTTTGATGCATGGATACATAAAAATACTTCCAGCTGCTAATTCTGATATACTGATATTCCTAAAGGTCAAACTGGAAATACAGCATGAATGATTTTATCTTAGCTACACACTTACAGTTAGAACCTAACAAGCACAGCTACAACAGCTTACTAAGGTGACGAGCCATAAGCTGCCAGGGTAGGCAGCTGTGATTGAATTATCTATCTACACCAGCTGTAGACAGCCGTTTAAATCTGGGTCATGGTGTTCTGAGATAAGAAACCATCTTTATCCAAGCTGTCATGTTACAGGGAAACTGTTTTCTGGATCAGGTGTTTTTACCCTTACACAAACTCAAATCTGTTTAAACAGATGGAACCTGATTCTGTGCCAACAAACCTTGGTAAAATGTTAATAACCAGAGGGCTGGAAATCATACTTACATGTAACAACGCACTGGCAGTGTAGGTCACCAAGATGGCGGGAAAAGTGCCAAGTTTGAGTGCACTTTTAAAGACGTCTGTATGTTAAAATGTACAGGGAACATTTATATGAATGCACAACATATATATGCATCAATAACCTGAATAAATATACATACATGCGTTAAGCCACTTAGACATGGGCAGATTCCAAGAGGTAACAACTTCCACCATAGACCTCGGCAATTCCACATTCATAGGTTTAGCTACTGTAATATCCCTTTGAATGAGAAAATACGTCACAGTAGGTCTCAACAAGGCTGTTATTTAACAACAAAAGAGAAAAAGCATGAGTATGCACCATTTGATGTGGTCTTTGTGCTCAGAGAATCCAGCTCCAGCCATCACAGTGGTTGTTTCACTCAAGTAGCTGACAAAATAATTGCTGAAGTGGAAGGACACCGCATTTTCATAAGCGTGAAGCCACCTGAGGACAAAAGGCCAATAAAAACAATATTAAACAAAAAAATGAAATAAACATTCAAGCTAGCCATTTCATTTCCTCTGGATATGGAATCCCAATGGAGGAAGAGCAGCTCACCTACGAGGAAGTCCGTCACCGTAGATGGGAATGAAGTATGGAAAGAGATAAGGAGCAATACAGTTGGAAATAACCAGGCACATCTGACTCCTCAGAAAGCTCAGAGCAATCTTTCCAAACCAGCCAACGCTCTGCAGGAGATAGTAGGACAGTTACTGTATAGCAAGCTCTCTGCTGATGGAAACATGCTCAGAACAAATCAAGATTATCTTCTCTTCAAAGAAAACAATTATTTTTGCCATTTAACATTTAGCATGAAAAACACATTCACTTTATTTTAATGTCAATATCTGCATATGCTTATAAAGACACTTTCTGAAGACTGCTTTGAAACAATAAGGATTGGAAAAAGCGCTATATGAACACACTGGCTTGAGTTGACTGTGTTTTTGGACACAGAGGAAACACAGTGTTTCCAAAATACATCACATATATTTATACCATTTTAAAGTTTGGGGTAAGTCTCACATAGGAAAAAATATATTGAAAAATAAATACAGTAAAACAATAATCGAATTGTTATTACAATTATTAAAATAAAATAATATTTATATTTATAATTTAAAATAACTTTTCTATTTTAATATATTTTAAAATGTAATTTTTCTTGTAATGGCAAAGCTAAATTTTTTAATTTTCAGTGTCACATGATCCTTCAGAAATCATTATAATATGCTGATTTAGTGGTCAAGAAACATTTCTTATTATTATTAATGTTGAAAACAGTTGCTGCTTATTATTTTTGCTGAAACTGTGATACTTTTTTTAATGAATAAAAGAACAATATATTTCAAATATATTTTTGTTATCTAAATATATTTACTGTCATCTTTAAACAATTTAATGAATTCTTGCTGAATTAAAGCATTAATATCTGTCAAAAAATATATAAAATAAATTGTACATATAAATAAAATGTTCACATAATGTATACAAAAAGAGCACAGAAGTGAAATAACATTAAAAAAAATAATAAATAATAAATAATTTATAATAAAAAAAAAAAAAAGACAATAAAACTAGGAATTTAAAAAAAATCATTGTATTTACCATTTTGCATCCATTAATTGCATCGGTGTAGCGGGCAAAACTGATCCATGGCCCAAAGATAACAGTTCCCGCAAAGCAGAGGTATCCCATGAACTCCAGCGGGGAGGGAAAAGAGGACACAGCGCCTCGATCAAGGTCAAAAGCCAGAGAGATGGCCTTCATGGCCACCACCATCTGAGAGCCTGGACACAACCGAAACAGTCCGTATGGGACATGTGACAACATAATGAGTGTCATTTGATGAAAATTATGTGACATGAAATAAAATACTTTGATAAAAACAAA